AAAAGCATTTGGAGGCTTTTAAGTTTGTCATTAATGTCATGTAGTACAACAATAAAGTAGATAGTGGATTATCTGAATCACAGAAAATCAACAGGTTAACAAGACTGATTTATTTTAACTTTATTTAATGAATTATATTAACTTTATTTCTATTAAGTTTATAATATTACTGCTAATACAACTATTTGACCTGATGTGGAGTGGAACTGGCTTCCACTGGTTGTAGTCTCACTGATGGAGCCTGATGGTCTCAGTCCTGCTCTGATACAAAGGTCTGGAGACAGGTCCTCAGTGGGTCCACAAACAGATTCAGGYCCATGTTGAATAAAAGTAAATTAAAAAGAACACAGTTATAATATCACACAGTCACAGCCAGCAGTCTCATTAATCAGACAGCAAACATTTTTCTACACATATTGGTCTCTGAAATCTGAAGGAAGTAGTTTGGTAGTAGTTAAAAATAGATTAACTTAGTTAAACACAGTTTAACTTTGATTTATGGTGATTCTAATTCAAATCAATGTCCGTGTAGTTCTGACAAAGCTTTAAAAATGTAGCCAACAAGGTCTTAATTAACAAAACAAAATATAGTTAGAGAAAGCTTTTTAAACTCACAGTTAATACCAGTTAGGTTTTTGTTCTTTTCAAGCTGTTCTAAATAAACTTCGACTGAACAGGAAACATGAGGCTGTTTTTCTTTCCTATTTATGTCATCATGCTAACGCTAACACCATGTTAACAACAACAATCAACGAAGCTCTACTTTCAGCATGGAAACTGTTTAAACACATCTTCTTACAAATACTGACAAGTACTACGTGTACCAAATGTGAAATAAATAATACAAACTACTATTAAAAGTAAAAAGAGTTTAACTTACAGTTGTTTAGGGGTTTGATGGTGGACTTCAGTCCCGTTGACCGAGTCAGAGCACTGCCGTTATGTGATTTTGAACTTGCATTATTTTTTCCATTATGCAGTTAGTTTTATGAATGCATCAGTTTTCTTTTTTGGTTGTTCATCATAAATCCACTATATACTTTATTGTTGTACTACATGACATGAATGACAAACTGAAAAGCCTCCAAATGCCTTTCCCATCAGCAAATTGTTGTGTTTATAAAGAGTTCATCTGGTCCCAATTGAAGCACTGGTCATGCCCCCCCTAGTGGTCTGGCTTAGTTACTGTTTGCAATCGATCTTTTCGGTGTTCCATGCATAATGTCTTATGC